CCCCCCTCTCCCCCCTCTCCTCAGTTAAGCCTGCTTTCTATATGTTCCCGGTAATGTTCCGTTCTATCCTTTGCTTCAGCAAGATACCCCCATTGCGCTGGTCTGTTCAGTATAATTAAGCATCTCGGTTTATCTATTTCTTGCTTGTCGTTGCCGTCGCCCGACCTTCCTCCTACCTCTCCTCCCCCCGGGCCCCCTTTTCCTTCGACATCTCCGTTCAGAAGTGTCAAGTGTCACTTCGGTGATATGGGCTTCTGCTACCTCGACAGCATACCGATCTCGTCCCGACACGAGTAAAGAGTCCATTCATACCACGTTCTCAAAATTGTGGCAGTGATCCGCTATCCAGCTCTATATCCAGCAACGTCCCTGGTCATAGCGCTCAACATCTGTATATCTGAATAGCAAATCTTCTGCTCAGAACCGGAACAGCTCGGCTACCTGCATATGCAGCACAGCCCTGGAGGCAATTAATAAGGTCACCGATAAATATCTGATCCGTGGCCGAGAAGCTGCGAGATACCCTGCTTGATCTGAAAACTCGGCATCGTCTTTGCAGCTGCTATCCCCCACGTTGCCGACCCTCGTTCGAACGTGTCGTGGTGGAGACCATCCGACTCACCCCATCTCTATCCATCCGACTTCTCCTCGGTGACCGGTGGAGAGATCCATTGCAGTTTTCGGAGTGAGCAGCAAACCGACACCGAACAGACAAACAGCGAGGACATCTACCAACCGCCGCGAGACCCGTCAGATCGAGGCGTATCGTGTTTCTGGGAGAACAACGACAGCTGTGCTCAACTCCTGCTCTCTCACCTCACCTCTGGAAGCTGCAAGGGAATACGGGCTTTTGGGAAGGAACGGGTGAGCCACACCTGCCTCACGAAAACAAGGAAATCCATCATTCACGCTCCTTCCTTCCGTTCATTCGAAGAAGAAAGAACAAGCAGGGGAAAAGCGTGCTTCTCACTTGACCCTCTACCTCGAGTCTCTCTTCACTTCAGACACCAGTACACCTGTAAGGCACTGGTTCTTTCCTCCGTTTAGGTCCGCGTCTTCTAGGAAATCGACTGTCATCTCACCTGGAAGTTCTCAAGGCGCCGTACGGTACTCGACTCCATTCATTCTTCCTCTTTCCGTTCACTTTACTTTCGTCTCCGTCACCGGCATCCTTCTTCTGTTTTCACTATAAGAGGCAGTCGCTCTCCCGACTCCAAGCCCAACATCTATTGCTCTTCTCCTTCTACGCATCACCTCTTCTCTTTTATCCATCATCTTACCATTCCCACATCCAGAGTGGTGACGCCTTCTCTATTCTTCGACTGTTCTCAGTGTTTCATACCTTCCCTCTTTAGTATCAATTCCTTCCCAAATCATTAGGTGAGTAATCGTTCTTGATCTTTTCTTTTTCTTCCCATCTCGATGTCCATGATCCCCCTCCCTCTCTGCCACCTCTCTCTCCTCTACTTCACATCTTCCCCCTCCCAACCCATTTTCTCTTTTTTTTCTTTCTTTTTTTTCTTGCTTCATCGTCTGAGCATATCACATCACTCTTCGAAAAGAAATCTTTCCCCACCAAAACCCGCATTCGATCTTTGTTCTTCTCTGCCAAAATCCCCCATCTTGCTAGATAGCTTGCTCTATCTTACAAACTCCCGCTCATCTCCAAGTCTTGGTAGCCAAAATTTGCCCGGATCGGTATCTCCAAGCCTTGTCCAGGAAAGAAAACGTTCATTTGGAGTTTCAGAAAAAGTGAGTTGCTTCAACATGGGCCATGATATCACTGAAACATGGAGCCTGCCGTCACCACACACCATATCAGTCGCGCCTTTTCCATCTCGTTCGCTCCTCTCTAGTTTTCTACGCAAGGACGCGTGGCTTCTCATCACATCTGCATTCGATACCTCTGTACAACCCCTTTTCTTGATGAATACCACTGTCCCTCCGTCGCCCTCCTCATGATCCTGTTGCTATGACACTGCTCCGATCTTCTGTTCTGACAGCTTTTAGTTTGCTTCGGAACATCCAATCATTCTCGCGATAGAACAATCTGCTGTCATCAAGGCAAGTCACATCCTCCCACCTGATAACAAAGTTTGGGAATACCACGGTGCTCCTGCTTGGCCTCCGTCGAGGCCCAGAGCTTGACCGAGGGTTCTCTCTGGAGAGTGTTGATTGTAATTTCTTGGAGCCCTACAGCATTTGGTCCTATCCTTGCTGACTTGGATCATTGAAAGTTTACCCCAATTATTATCGTCCTCGTTGTGAGAGAATTGCCGACATGGAAGGAAACCATGGTGGCTTTGTCAGTGCTGGCAATCCTCGGAACCGGAACCACCACGGACCAGTTCCCACCGGACCGGTCAACACAGCTGACCCGAATGGCCTCGTCAACACCTTCGGAGGGATGGCCCTCAATGGAATGAATGTTCCGACCAACCCTGGTACCATTCCTCTTGGTTGGTTCGTCGACAATGGCTATCCGGCCGGTCTCAATGCCATGCATCACAATATCGCCATGGTTCACAACGACGGTCCCTATGCACAGATTCAGGGCCACACCCACGGCTACCCGGGTGCCTTCTTTGGCCTTCAGATGCCAATTTCAGGACTGCCCCCCTACACTCCTGGTCGGAGGAACATGGCCCAACCTCGAGCCCACCGTGGGCAGTCTGACGTTCCAAGTCTCGAGAATCGCCGGGGCTCCTATTCTACCAACGAATCCACGCCCGCTACCCCTTTTTGGGCTGGTGTGCCCAACCGAGAGAATGCCCCGAGGGTAGCGAGCCTTGACCGGTCTGCATATACGACGCCGTCTCCGCAACAGCTCGGCATGTCGGCCATTCACGGAGATCCCACAAAACCAGTCACTTCGGCAGTCTCAGACACGGCTCTAGATGCGCTTTTGCAGCAGGACCCACCAGTCCCAAAGGCTGTTCCTGCCGTCTTCACACCCCCGGGCCAGATGAAGACCGTTGATCAGAGCCTCGAGAACCGCATTCCTGGAAATAGGAATGTTTACATTCGTGGGCTTCACCCTACGACTGACGATGAGCTTCTCTACCAGTTCGCCGCCCGCTTTGGCGCTGTTGAAACTTCAAAGGCTATTATTGACACTGCGACCGGCGCTTGCAAGGGGTATGTGACTGTTCATTCTCGTGACGGATATGGATGTTGACAGGCTATAGATTCGGCTTCGCCAAGTTCTACAGTGTCCGAGACTCGGAAATGTGTATCCGAGGTTTCCACAGGCTGGGATACGAGGTTGGATTCGCTCGTGTGAGTCCTGTCACCGGCTTCGTTTTCAATTGTGGACAAGAGCTGACCCTACACAGGAATCCTTCAACTCTCGTCTCAAGTCTCAGGGGGACGAGGGTTCTACTAACCTGTACATCTCCAACCTTCCCAAGACCCTCAATGAGGTGGTGAGTCCCTTCTACCACATGGCATTTGATGTTTTTTGTGTCTCATGTGCCAATCTAGGAGCTTGGAACAATTTTCCTTGGGTTTACCATACTGTCGAGCAAGATCCTGCGTGACAGCATGGGGAACAGCCGCGGGGTCGGATTTGCTCGGTAAGTTGGAAGTGAAGCAACCTCCATGCTCGCGTGATTAACGTATACCTAGGTTTGAGTCTCGCGACGTTTGCGATGAAATCATCAGCAAGTTCAATGGCGTCGGTATTGGCGAGGAAGGCTTGTTGATGAACATCCGCTACGCCGATACCCCAGCTCAAAAGGAGCTCAAGCGTGTGACGGCCGAGAGACGCCAGTTCCGCACCAACGAGTACAACATCGGTGCCTATGGCACCCCGCTCGTTGGCATGAGCCCCAACCTTCTCGGCAGACAGAGTCAATGGCGTCACAGTGGCGGACCAGGCCGAAGGTGAGTGGAACTAGAGTGCTGTGAACCACTTCATGATCTGACACCTGGACAGTGACGAGACAGACACAGGCTTGAACCATGGGACATCGGGATCTCAGCCTGGTGATTCCCAGTATGAGTCGTCTCATGGAGGCCAACTTGTGGACTATCTGACCAAGTATTTGCAGGACGGCAACTACCGCGAGCACTGATCCGGCGGGAAGCGTCTCGACCCCGACCTCGTCGGAATTCGACGAGGGAGTCACGATACACGCAGAACAGAACCCCGGAGTCCTTGCGAGCGCGAGCGCCCAGTCTTCCCCTTCTGGAAAGAAGCCTGTGTCCAAGAGGAAGGACATTCGTCTCTAATCAAGAATGAGAGCTGTGGTTGCTTTGGGTTTGCTGTCCTAGGCACTTGTCGCTAGAGTTGTTTTGCTTCGATGACTAGCTTGGTGTTTCTTTCTTTCTTCTTCCTTTCTTCTTACCATCCTCTTGACTCTTTGTTCCCTTGATATTTTTTTTTTTTTGCTTGCAGCCAATCATTCATGAGGAGTCAGAGAACTGTTCTGCAATTACGGAAAGTTATACGGTCCGAGGAGACCAAGTCGCGGTTGATGCATTTGCGGTAATGGTTTATCTCAGAGCTTTTGTACTTTAGAGATTCGAGGGGATCAGACTCGGTTACGGAAGGGGGAAAAAAAGCTTGCGGGCATGCTATGGTAGCAGCTAAGACGGATGGGGTTCATGGTTATGTTCAAAGGTGCCATGCCCCCCCATTCTAGTCATGGCGTAAATGAAAAGTAATTATTACGGAAATCCCGTGAAATTCCGTGGAACAGCATCGTGGTTATTATGCAAGAGGGTATCATTGGGTGAAGTTATTGCGTACTGGTAGCTCCATGTTACAGAGCCAGCTTGTCCATACCCTTTTTCAACTCCTCTGACTTGTTGCTTGGGTCATCAAGTGTGTTTCCTTGATGAGGGCTGGCATCATCATCTTGTACTTCAGGTGAAACATCCTCCTCTTGCTGCCCGTGGGCAGCCTCTTCACTGGCTACGGCCTCGTCCTTGTCCTCGTCATCATCGTAATCACCATCTGAGTGGGTACCTTCCTCTTCCTTGGGGCCCCTATCCTTGATCGCTGCCTCAAGATCCTTCAACATCTTCTTTGTAAAACCAGATGCCTCGACAGCAGCATCTAGGCGCGGGGTATCGTCTTTGCCGACAGTCTTCTTCGCATCCTTGAAGAAGGGACCGGGTTCGGTGCTGGTGAAGCCAAACCTGCGGTAGAAGAAGCGTTTGATACATTCGACGTCCCTGTCAAAGTACATCTCTGCGTTCTGATGCTCCATAGAGACCATCTGAGGGAAATCAATCAGGACAGGTTCTAAGCGGACCGACGCCTCTTGGGAGCCGTCGTCCTTTTCCGAGGTGGTCTCAATCTCCTTGACGAGGATGTTGAACTCGTTGAAATCACCGTGAATGAGACCGTGCTTTGCGAGGCGGAGGATGAGGCCGATGAGGTCTGCGTATAGGGAAGCCGGGTCGGGGACATCGGAGATCTGCCTGAGGGGAAAGGCGTCGATGAGGGCCATGACGATGGTGTGACGGGACTGGCCGATCGGGTGAGGGACGGGGAAGCCTGCTTCTTCGAGGGCCTTCATAAAGGCAAACTCCTTCATGGCGGCGAGGCGGGACAGGTACATCCACGACGCGGACTGCCTGTTCTTGAGGTAGTCACGGTTGGACTTGACGGAGCGGAACGAGATGCGGCCCAGGCGGTGGATCTTGAGGACGTGCTGCACGCCCTTCTCGTCGGAGACGACCATGATGTCGCTCTCCTTTCCCACGCCTATCCTGCTGCCGACGCTGTAGACGTCCTTGCGAGACGAGTGGGTGTGCAGGGCTAGGTAATCCAGCCCGCCGTACGTGAGGCGGTACCCATCGTACTTGGCTTCCTTGACACGGGCGATGAGGCCCACCTTGGCCAGGGCGGAGATGCTCCTGTGCACACCGCTGGCGCCGCCGCGCAGACGAGAGAGCTTCTCGATCAGAGGCGTTGGGACAATCTCGTGGTTCTTGCTGCCCATCTCGACCTGTATCACCGGGGCATGTACATGTCAGCTTACAGGGGTCTAAATGAACAAACGATCGGAGGGTGGTTTCATATCCCTGTTGACCTACAGCTGTGAGGACACGCCAGTCCTCTGATGCCAGATGGCGCATAGCCCGCGTATCGAGCTTCATGACGGATGCGTAGGTGTACTGATGTATAAAGCCACAAGGCGGAGAGACTGGGCTTGAAAAAGTTCGAGGGCGGTTGAGGTTGGGAGGGACGGGACGTGTACGTGGGGAGAAACTTGGTGGGGGATAAAAGGAAAATTCACTGATAAGACATGATGTATCTAATCGATAGCATTTGACTTATCAAGGGACATGGATGGTCGATCAACAGCCCCGTGGACGATGATGGAAATACTACGGAAGGAAAGAAGAAGATACAGAAAAGCTCTTCAGGATCGTTGAGTTTGAGATCCACTTGACCGTCTTGGCCAGTATCGTCTTTCATCTTCGGCAGTTTGGAATACAGATGAGACTTTGAACTTAGCTGACGCTGGCTACGGTTGGTTCATCGCATCGTGGTCTTGGACAGCCCTGTTGGCTCCAGCGATCGTGCTTACTAAATAGAGAAGCACGTGACTTTCTTGGCGGCGACAGGTAGCAGCAGGCGGCAGCAGCGTCACGTAACCTAAGCTCCGGGCAGCTAGCCTTGGTCAACTTGCGGCATCGCACCTGCTTCTTTCTACCACCGCCACAACCCGCCCATTCATTCTCTCAAATCATTGCGATCCTCTCGCCTCTTACTACGAACCCTTTCCCAGAAACATCACTCCTTACTACCACACCGAAACGCGGCGTCTGGCTGTTTGGTGAAACTCTCTTTGGGAGGAACCCGCCCACCGACGACGTCAACATGGCCCCCCCAGACAGCGACAAGCCCGCGTCGGCCGACAAGGGCAAGGGAAAGGCTGCGGAAAGCTCCAAGGAGGAGAAGCCTGCCGTCAACGGGAAGAAGGATGGGGGCGACAAGAAAGACGGTATGTTTTGCTGCCTGTTATCCCCCAAGGGACTTGGGCGCCCCGCTCCCTTGGATAAACTGGCTGACCAACTTGCTCTTCTGCAGCTGCCGAGGAGGAGCTCAGCGAGGAGGACCAGCAGCTCAAGAACGAGCTGGATATGATGGTCGAGCGCTTGACGGTTAGTTTGCACGCACGCAGGCTTGCTGATGATGCAATACAGCAATGACTGACACAAATGCAGGAGTCGGACAGCTCGCTCTACAAGCCTGCCATAGAAGGCATGAAGACGGCAATCAAGACGTCAACGTCATCTATGACTGCAGTCCCCAAGCCCCTCAAGTTTCTGCGACCGCACTACGAGACATTGACGAAGCTGTACGAAGAGTGGCCCAAGGGCGAGGACCAGACTTCCCTTGCCGATGTCCTATCCGTCATCGGCATGACCTTCTCGGACGAGGATAAGCAGGACACGCTGAAATACCGGCTGCTCGCGCCCTCATCTGACATTGCTTCGTGGGGTCACGAATACGTCAGGCACCTGGCGCTCGAGATCGGAGAGGTTCATGCAAAGAGGGTCGCAGAGGACCAGCCCGTAAAGGACCTGATCGATCTCGCCCTCGTGCTGGTTCCTCTCTTTATCAAGAGTAACGCTGAGGCCGACGCCGTCGACCTGATGAGCGAGCTCGAGATCATTGAGGAGATGCCTAAGTTCGTCGACGAGAACACGTATGCTAGGGTATGCCTGTACATGGCTAGTATGGTTAATCTTCTGACCTACCCCGATAACGATACTTTCCTGCGTACTGCCCACGCCATCTACATGCAGCACAAGCAGTATACCCAGGCCATGGTCCTCGCCATCCGCCTGCACGACGTCGACCTCATCAAGTCGGACTACGCCCAGACCGAGGACCACTCCCTGAAGAAGCAGCTGGGGTTCCTCATCGCTCGCCAGAAGATCGCCATCGACCTGGACGAGGATGATGAGTTGGAGCAGGATAACGAGGACATCGAGTGCCTGAGCAACCAGCGCCTGTCGGAGCACTTCAAGTCCCTGGGCAGGGAGCTTAACATTCTCGACCCCAAGACCACCGAAGACATCTACAAGAGTCATCTGGAGAGTAGCCGAGTCGCGGGCATGACCAACCTGGACTCTGCCAGGCACAACCTGGCCGCTGCATTTGTCAACGCATTTGTTAACGCCGGCTTCGGAAACGACAAGATGATGCTCGTGGACGGAGAGAAGGAGTCGTGGGTCTGGAAGACCAAGTCGGATGGCATGCTGTCGACCGCTGCCTCAATGGGTACACTCATGATGTGGGACATTGAGAACGGCCTCGACAAGATTGACAAGTACACGTATGCCAACGAGCCCGAGATCCAGGCCGGAGCCATGCTCGCCATCGGAATCATGAACTCTGGTGTGCGCATAGACTCAGAGCCGGCCCTGGCCCTGCTGGGAGACTCCAACAAGCTGAACAGCGAGTCACCCCTCATCTCGACAGCCTCCATCATGGGCCTGGGTCTGTCGTATGCCGGTTCCAACAAGGAGGACGTCCTTGAGCTTCTGCTCCCGCTCATCTCGGATTCGAGCCAGAGCATGCAGATCTCCGCCATGGCGGCGCTATCGTGCGGTCTCATCTTTGTCGGCTCGTCGCACGCCGAGGTCAGCGAGGCGATTGTGACGACGCTCATGGACGATGACCGCAAGAACCAGCTGACGGACAAGTGGACTCGATTCCTGGCCCTGGGCCTGGGACTGCTCTTCTTCGGGCGCCAGGAGGAGGTCGATGTTATCCTGGAGACGCTCAAGGCCATCGAACACCCCATGTCTAAATCGACTGCGGTGCTTGCCGAGATCTGTGCGTGGGCGGGAACGGGAACTGTGCTCAAGATCCAGGAGCTCCTGCACATCTGCACGGAACACAAGGAGGAGTCGGACGACAAGAAGGGTGACGAGCTGATGCAGGCGTATGCCGTCATCGGCATCGCACTGGTGGCGATGGGCGAAGACATCGGACAGGAGATGGTCCTTCGACAGTTTGGACACTTGATGCACTACGGCGAGCCCAACATCCGCAAGGCCGTGCCCCTGGCCATGGGCCTGGTGAGCCCGAGTAACCCCCAGATGAAGGTATACGACACGCTGTCCCGGTACTCTCACGACAATGACCCAGAGGTCGCCATCAACGCCATATTCGCCATGGGCATGCTGGGTGCTGGCACCAACAACGCCAGGTTAGCACAGCTGCTCCGCCAGCTGGCCAGCTACTACCATCGCGACCAGGACGCCCTCTTCATGGTGCGCATCGCTCAGGGCCTCCTGCACATGGGCAAGGGCACCATGACGCTCAACCCCTTTCACACTGACCGACAGGTCCTGTCTCGCGTCTCGGCGGCTGGACTCCTCGCCACCGTTGTGGCCCTCATCGACGCCAAGGATTTCGTCACCTCAGACTCGCACTACCTCCTGTACTACCTCGTCACCGCCATGCACCCTCGCTTCCTCGTCACCCTCGACGAGAAGCTCCAGCCCATCAAGGTCAACGTCCGCATCGGACAGGCCGTCGATGTCGTCGGACAGGCCGGCCGTCCCAAGACGATCACGGGTTGGCAGACGCAGAGCACCCCTGTACTCCTGGGGTATGGCGAGCGTGCCGAGCTCGAGGATGAAGAGTACCTCAGCCTCAACAGTACATTGGAGGGTCTGGTGATTTTGCGCAAGGTATGCCGCACTTTTTATCTCATTTTCGTTTTTCTCCTTTAAACTCTCGTTTGACTCTACTAACTCATCTCTTCTTGCAGAATCCGGAATGGGAGGAGGAGAAATAAAAATTGGGAAGAAGTAGAAAGTATTCCCCTTCAAAGTCTCTCTAGCTTCCTTGTTGTAATTTCCTTTCTTGGTATGATAGAGGAGCAAATGGAAATGAAGATGAGAAAAAAAAAAGACGGCACTGGAGCTGTATAGTAGATTCACGGATGCGCGAGTAGTCAGATTAAATGAACATAAAACTGAAACCGCAAAGAAAAAAGTCAACTCTCAATGAATAGATATTTCAAGACTTATACTTTTGGTGAGAGTAATTTTTGTAAAGAAGAAAGAAAAAAACCGTCATATTCGTAATGGTGCGATTTGACCTTGTATCCAAAAGGGTCCCATAAACCGAAGAAAGAAAGAAAACACCACCCCAAACCCAAACCATTGGAGTATAAACATTATCCAGACCCTAGAAAAGTGAACCCCAAAGGACAAAAAAAACACAGATATCCAGAGACCAAAAGGATAAAAAGAAAGAAAAAGGTATGCCCATGAAGAAATGTATGTGTATGCGTATGCATGCATGTCTACTGCAATGTGTGTTGTAATGATGATGAGTGATGAGGGAGTCGTGGCAATGACCAGAATCACCAACTATCAGGGCCAAAGTGCTCTCCAGGTGGGAGTGTAGCATACGGACAGGCCTGCCAGTCGCAGCCCTGCTTGTGAATCTCGGTGCCCCACCATGAGAAGCCGTCCATCCAGCCGGGGTATATGAAGCCGAAGAAGACGACTAGGATGCCGATGGCGAGGCCGGAGTCGAGGGCGGCGCTGAGGGTCATGGTGTACTTTGCCCACCAGGCCGAGGCGCGTCTCTTGATGTGGAAGTTGAAGACGTAGCAGACGAGGGCCCAGACGGAGAAGTTGAGGCCGGTGGCGGGCGGGATCCAGCCCATAGCGCCGAAGACGACAGGGAGGTTGATCTTGCGGACGATGCTGTGCTTCCTGCGGCGGGCGTACAGCCACAGGGGTACCGGCAGGACGGCGCCCAGGGCGAAGCACCAGACCAGGGCGCGGTAGATGGCGTCCGGGCCGAAGAACTCGTTGACGCCCACCACACCCCACAGGATGGACCCGTTGAAGTGGACGCGGGCGATGGGGCAGGTGAAGCCGTTGACGGCCTCCGGCGTGCACAGCCCGCTGACGTTGACAAACATCCAGTTCAGGACGGCGATCTGCGTCAGCGACGACACGAGCGTGGCCACCACCTGCACCGTGAACATGGTCCGCGGCGGTATCTTCATGTAGTGCCCCAGCTTGAGGTCCGACGCAAACTTGATGCCCTGCGCCGACGAGATGTACCCGTACGTCACGAAGACCATGTTGGCTATCGGCCGCCCGGGGAAGACGGCGCCGCAGATGAGCTGGCAGATGAGGTAGATGGAGCTGTGCTGGTTGGTAACGGCCATGATGATGCCGTTGGGGATGAAGAAGATGGCCCCGATGCCGAGAGACAGCAGCAGCCCGTACCAGGGCAGGTGCACCGGGTAGTACTCTACCAGGAACATGCCGATGGTGGCCATGGAGACGAACGTGCCCAGGTACCAAGACATGGGCACGTCCCTGTACCGCTTCATCAGACGGCTGTGGATGTCCTCGCGCGTCAGGAGCCCGTCGGCGTGGGACGGCGATCTCGACCGGCAGTCGCCGTCGTCATCGCTGGCGCCGCTGCGGCCGCTGCGGCTGGGCCCGCCAAAGACCTGCTCGGATCCTGCCGACACTGGCTGATAGGCCGTCTTCTCCTCGTCGCGGGCCTCATCCAGCGCCTCCTTCCACGTCGTCCAGATGTCCTTGCCGTGCCAGCAGGCCGTGTGGGTCAGCAGGGCGGCCAGGCCGGCAAACTGCATGCCGTAGCTGAGCATGTAGGTGATGGGCAGGAAGACGCGGCTGTAGTCTCGGTAGGCCTGCCGGTCGAAGACGAAGTCGTCCGTGAGGATGCGGCTGACGTTGTAGAGGTTTCCCGTGTTGTCGAAGACGGCAGTAGAGATGATGGGCATGTACGACGTGTAGAGCACGTTGGCGTAGTACATGATCGGTGCAATGATCCACATGACAAGGGTCAGGCCGCCGACAACGTTGACTGCGGCCCAGAAGGGCACGAGCAGAGGGCTGCCGATGTACGTGATCTGGGCCCAGTCAAAGGTCAGGGGGAACAAGCCCAGACCGGACGAGACACCGAACAGGTTGGCGACGACGACATTGTCAGGCGCGAACCAGGTGACGACATTGAAGTAGCTCAGGCACGGCATCAGCAGTCCCGGGAGGAAGTAGAAGAGGAAGGCGCCAGAGCACACAATGTAGAAGAAGTTCCACCTGCTGACTGTCCAGCCATTGGCGGGCTTGTTGTCCTGCCTGTGCAGGGTGCCGAACATGGCGGCCGACATGAGGGTGCCGGGCCAGATCATGCCGCTCGGGCGGACGAGAAAGCGGCGGGCCAGGCCGGCAAAGCCATAGCCCAGGACCTGAGTGGATATGGTGAGGAGGATCTGATACATGATGGGAGCCGGTTGGTTGTAGAATTGGGTCTGCTCGACAATGACATCCGTGGCGAAGGCGAAGCCAAAGGCAACGTTGCTGCTCACGTACACACACGTATGCTCCTTTTCGTTCCACCGTCCCTGGGCAAGCCACAGGCGCCAGGAGCGGGGACTCTCGCCGGCGGACCCGGAACGGTGTCCCTCGACGAACTCGTCCTTGGGGTCGTGAGAGCGTTTGAGCAAGAAGTCCCACATGTGACCCAACGGGTGGACGAGGAGCAGGGCGATAACGGGGGTGATGGCGACGCTGGGGTAGCGGAGGGAGAAGAAGAGGTTGGTCGAAGATCCCAGGATGGAGAAGAGGACGGAGAGACACCACATACGAGGGGTGTTTATGGACAGGGTGGTGTCGTCGGTGGGGGGTACCGAAGCCCGGACGGCCTCGTGGGGTGAGTTCTCCTCATCGGCAATCGAGGCCTCGGACTCATCGTCGGAGTCGACCCCTCCCACAAGCGGCACATCGTCATCGGTGTCGGTCACGTAGGCGTCAGACACGGCACCGGTTACGCTCTCGGCCATGGGGGTCTCGGTAACACCAAAACGGCCCTCGATGCCGGAGACGAGCATGGAGGCGTCGAGGTCCTCTGAAATGCGGGAGGACGACTTGGAGAGCATGGATCGGTGCGAGGTGGAGGCGTTGCTCCGGAGGGTGCCCGAAGTCACGAAGGCATGATGCCTGCCTACGGCGGCGGCGGCGTGCTCGTCGTCGTCGTCGTCGCCGTCGCCGTCGCCGTCGTCGCTGTCGAGCGACGTGTCGCGGCTGGGAGCGTTGGAGAGGGAACCGTAGGGTCCGTCAGGGCGCTGGCCGCCAGCGGTGTTGGCAAGAAAGGGCGACCGGTGCGAGGCCATGGTGCCGGGGTCGTCGGGGTCGTCGGGGTCGTCGGGGTCAGCGGCGTCGACGGCAGCGGAAGTCAGATTGATGTCGAGGACAGCAGCAGGCGCCCAGGCGACAGGAGGAGGGGAAGCTATCGCCTCGTGGCTTGCAGACGGTCGGTGACCATGGTGGGGTGGCTTAGATGAGGGCAGCGTTGGGAGGGAGGGAGAGGGAGAGGACGACGGGTGATTATAATATGCGTGGGCATGTGTCTCACGGCCAGGTTGGGCGGGACTGGCGTCTGAGTCTGGGACGAGGGGTGGCACGGAGGGGTTTGGCAGAGACTGCAAGGACCGCAAGGGCTGCAAGGGCTGCAGCGGCACGGCGTCGTCGTGGTGCAGAAGGGAATGCGCCAAGGTGGAGTCGACGCTGGATCTCGACCTTGACCTCGGCCTGGCCCTGAGGCGATTCTCGACGGCGGATGCGATGACAGGAGCAGTTTCCAGGTCCCTGTCCTCGTCACCGTCCGCGCTCTCGTTCTCACTCCTGTTGCTACCGCCGCTTCCAGGGACGGCAGGGACGGGAACTGGGACGGGGGGTGAGTGAGGGCCAGAGCTAGAAAGGGAGGGAGGGAGAGGGAGGGAGGAGGACTCGGGCGGGGGCTCGGGATGAGGCGAGGGCGGCGAGTCGGCGTGATGACTCGATGGATCCATGGTGGGTAAACGGGTTTTGGCGGTTGGCTGTGTGGGGATTCCTCCCAGAGACCACGGGATGGAGGGAGGGATGGAGGGCCTAAGGAGGGGATTGGGGGGGG